ATTTAGCAATTACCTGACAGGAGCCCTGTATCTAATTCCTATATAAAAGAAAGACCATTTAAATAAATATCAAACCCACTCAGCTCTAATATTAACATGTTCTGACATCTTATGGCAAGTCACTTAAGGGACACCGCTTAGCCTTAAAATTTTAATATATAGTCTCTCTCTCTCTCTCTCTCTCTCTCCAGTTAGTAAGAAAGTGAGAGACTGTCAAGTCTCCAAGGCTCTATTTCATCTCTGGCAGTGGAGTGGGGTCTAGTGGGTTACAGCAGAGGGCAGATACATTTTGGCTCTCTATATGATCAGAATGGCCATACTGGGTCAGACCAATGGTCCATCTAGCCCAGTATCCTGTCTTCTAACAGTGGCCAATTTGGGGTGCTTCAGAAGGCATCAACAAAAGAGGCAATCATCATGATCCATCCTGTCATCCATTCCCAGCTTTTGGAAAACAGAGGCTAGGGACACTATTCCCACCCATTCTGGCTAGTAGCCATTGATGGACCTATCCTCCTATAACATACTTTGTTCTTATGGGGACCCTGTTACAGTTTGGGCCTTTCTACCATCAAAGAGTTCCACGGGTTGACTGAAGAAATAATTTATTTTAAATCTGCTGTCTATAAATTTAATTCTTGTGTTATGTTAGTGAAGGAATAACTTTTCCTTATTCTATTTTTCCACACCATTCATGATTTTCTAGACCTCTAACCACCCCACCCCCACCGTTTAGTCATTTATTTTCCAAACTGAAAAGTCCCAGTCTTGTTAATTTCTCCTCATAGAGAAGCTGTTCCTTACCCTATTCATTTTTGTTGCCCTTTCTGTACCTTTTCCAAATCCAATATATCTTTTTTTAGATGGGGTGACCAAATCTGTATACAGTATTCAAGGTATGGGCATACTATGACTTTATAGAGGCAATATGATATTTCTGTCTTATCTATTCCTTTCCTAATGATTGCCAATATTTTGTTAGTTTTTTAGCTTTTAGACTGCTGCTCTACAGTGAGCAGATGTTTTCAGGGAACTATCCAAAATGATTCCAAGATCTCTTTCTTGAGAAGTCACAGCTATTTTAGATCTCATCATTTTTGGGTGTATAGTTGGAACTATATTCTTCCATGTTTAAAAGTCTCAGAGGAGTAGCCATGTTATTCTGTAATTGAAAATACAATGAATGGTCTTGCAGCACTTTGGAGACTAACAAAAAATGTATCATGATGATATCAAATGAAGGAGGGGGTTGTGCCCATGAAAGCTCATGATACCGTCTACCTTTTTTGGTAGTCTCTAAGGTGCTGCAGGACCATTTGTTGTTTTTTAAAATTCTTCCATGCAGAATACTCTGCATTTATCAACACTGAATTCCATCTGTCTTTGTATTGCCCAATCATCCAGTTTTATAAGTTCCCTTTGTAACTCTTTGCAGTCAGCTTTGGAATTAACTATTTTGAGTAATTTTGTAGTATCTGCAAATATTGACACATCACTGTTTACCCATTTTTCAAGAACATTTAAAAATTTAAGAGTACTGTTCCAAATTCAAATCCCAGCAGCACAACAGCATTGCTACTCTTCCTACTCTCCCATCTTTTAAGTACCTGGCAATGTTTTTGTGATGATCTAATGATCCTTTAATTATATGAATGATCAATCTTTTGCTATTCTTAATCACCTGCCTCCCTCTTTTTATAACAAACTCCCTGCCCCAAAGGCAAAGCTGCAAGCAGCTCTAACTCTATTGCAGTTAAGAACTGCCTTTAGAGCCAGGGCATGAAGCTTGAAGTATACCTCAAGTATGAAATCCAGGGGTTCAAACTCAGGAGGGGGGCACCCCCCATAAATGCACCCTAGGCATGCAGCAGAGACAGACATGTCTGTGGTTAATGAATCTACAGCAGGGGTGGGCAACAAGCAACTTACAGGCTGGACATGGTTCACCAGGGTTAATTGTTGGCAGGCCGCCAAACACTTTATTTACCTGCACATCTTCAAGTACAGCTGCTCACAGCTCCCACTGGCTATGGTTCACCATTCTCAGCCAATGGGAGCTGCAGGAAGGGGTGCATGCCAGGACACCAGTTCCTGCAGCTCCCATTGGCCTGGAACAGTGAACTGCAGCCAACGGGATCTACAAACGGCCACACATGTGGATGTGCAAGCAAATAAAGCATCTAGCAGCCAACCAGGGACTAACCCTGGCAAACTATGTCTGTACTATGTATTGTCAATCCCGGGTCTACAGACAAATCAGCTGGAACACCATCACAAGCAGGTGGGTCTGACCCAGACTGTGGATTGGTGTCTGTGCTTCTACACTCCTCCTACTGCACCACTGAAAAGCACCTGATTATGGTAGAATATTCAGAGCAGCAGAGACAAATGACTTAGTCTCTCATCTTTTCTGAGTGCAGCAGAGACTGGAAGACAGACCTAGAAAAAAAAAGAAAGAGAGAGGGAGGAGACAGACAGGAAAAGAAAGGTGGGCAAAAACTCCAAAAATGAGGGAGGAATATACAGCAGTAGCTTTGTGCAACCTTCTTAAGTGCCCAAACCTTCTGAAGCAGGTCTCACTAGCCTGCATGTAACAACACACAGTCAACTATGGAACTCATTGCCAGGGGATGTCACGAACAGCAAAATTATAATTGGGTTCAAAAAAATTAGGTAAGTTAATAGAGCAGGGCTACTCAACTTTGGAAGCCCCGGGGACCACAATGATATTCACAGCACATGCCGAGGGCCACAATTTAAGCGTGATTGCATATACATGCAAATATATGCAAATAGCTTTTCACACTGACAGGCATGAATACAAAGCACTTCTCACAATGCCCCAGCACTCCAGACACCTCCTCTCTGGGGACTAGAAATGCTAACACCCTGTACCTGTCTTTTCCAGCCAGCCCATCCACTTGCATGTTTCAATGTTTGCCCTGCCTTGCCATTGTGGAGCAAGTTCCCAGTGGAGGCCATGTTCAAAGAATCCCACCCACGGGCCGTATGTTGAATGCTGCATAAACCCAAACTGCATCGCAGGATGCAAACAAATGGGCCACGGGTTGAATAGCACAGTCACAGAGACTAGATCCATTAATGGCATTAGCCAACATGCTCAGGAATGCAACCCCATGGTCTAACCATTCCTAGCTTCTGACTGCCAGAAGCTGGAAGTGAACAACAGGGGATATTGCCCTGTTCTGTTCATTTCCTCTGAAGCACCTGGCACTGGAAGACAGGATAGTGGGCTAGAGTACCATTGGTCAGATGCAATATGGCCGTTCTTATGTTCAATCTCTATGAACCCTCCAACAGAACCAATTTTTGTCTAAGCCACACTATTTTTTTTTACACTTTTAACATTTGCAGAGTTGTATTTTTTTCATATAAACTCTCAAATATCTGAAATCATGAAATTCACTATTTTAAATCCTGTGACAGTGAAACTGACCAAAATGGGACCGTGAATTTTATAGGCCCCTAACTACGGATCAAGGAACCAAAAGATCATGAAAATTAATGAAAGGGTAGTCTTACTTTAACTTGTACCTTCAGACATGAACTTTGCTCTTGCTACGTTCCTCTCTTGCAGCCCTCAACATATTAATTACACCAATTCACACTCCCTTACAACACACACAAACTTTGTGGATCAAATTAAGAAGTGATGTGTCAAAAAGCATGAGAGTTCCATTGGGTTAGTGAGTGTGAATCTGTGTTAGTCAATCTAAGAGTGTTCACATTTCACATGCCTGATGTGAGTGCCAAATAAGTCACATTAGTCTGGACTTGCCTTGAACTTCGTCTTATTTCTGAAAAAGGCAATGGGAGCACCTCCTTGTACTACTTTCTATTGTATGGATAATATTTTCACAGTTAAAGGGCCTATATGACATCAAATATGATTTGTTCCAGTCTCTCTCTACTAACATTTTTACCCAACAGCAACATAAAAACCACAGCATTTGGGGAGTCAATGAGAAGTAGGAAGGAAGGAAAACTGGTGACAGTTGGTACCCCCTTAGTAACTACCAAAACAAACTGCAAAACTACAAACCAGCCCAGTCACATAGAAATAATTAAGAAGCATGGAAAACTGAAAAGTGACTGATCCTTGCAATACTTCTGAAACATAAGCAACATACCAATATGTGGAATTATTTTTTGCTCTTAAAATGATATTTGCCACTAATGTATCTTTTTTCAGTGACCAAGTTATACTACTTTTTTCCCATTGACAGGAGTCTTAATAGTAAGTTTGGAATTCACTCATAGCTTGTCATATCTTTCTGAGCTAATTCTTATGGTTACAGAGCTTGTTTTCTCATTCTGAAATGCATATGAAATTTCCTTTCTTATTTCATGTCCTCTTTCATTTATTTTCAGATTCCTGCCACCATCTTGCATGTGGCTTACCCTCATATGGAATTTCTTCCTTGTTGATCAGTACAAGCAGGATAACAGTATTCAACAGTGCTCAATGATTCTAGATAAATAAAAAATATAAACCTTTTAACCAAAAATATCCATCTTTATTCATTTTATAATTCACTAGCAGATTTACCCAGCTTTACTTGGGTCCTTAACTCAATTTTTTCGTGGGGGGGTATAAAAATGAGCATGCTTCACACTATGTTTAACAAAAAAGGGCTATAATCAATTTGGTTGTGTTCTAATTTTCACACCTTAAGCATCGATTGGCTATGTCAAAACAGAGCATTACTCCAAATTTCTGTTTTATCTCTTTTCTGTAAGGTTTGAGAAGCAATCCTATTCCAGTTTCATCTTATTTTTCAGGCTCATCTTGGTTCAGTCTCTTTCAACGTTCACCCAATTATGTCAGTGTTGAGGACCGTACTTGATTTGGTGATTCTGTCTCTTTTCTGTTTGGTTTTATGAGAAGCAATCCCATTCGAGGCACATCCAATTTTCCTTGCACAACCAAACCCTGATGTTGCATTAAGTTATGATAAGAGGAAGCTGTATACCGAATTTGGTGGTACTAACTCTTTACCATTTAGGAGGAGTTCTTGATCAAACAGAGACAAACTCTCTAAAATATGTAGTAAGTGAAAAATACATCCACCAGAGTCTCTGGATACAGGCTCAACAAAAGTCAAGTTATAACTTCCCAAAACAAAATGAAATGAGAAAAGGGCTGACTTCTTGGTCTCAAAAATAACACTCTACCCATGTAATAAAGATCCATTTATTTGGTGTTCTATGACGGCCCAAATTATCAATTACATCTTTTTGTCTCCATATATATTATTACAACATTTACAGATATACTTTGCTGCTCTGAAAACTATTAGAAAAATAAAAAGTGTATCCAATATGTTTTTCCATTTGAACAGGACATAAATTGTGTAGAAAACTTTTAGACATACAGTAACATTGCTTCCAATTGGCACTACACTTAGTCAAAAATTCCTGCAGTTAAATGCAAAACATATTGATTGTCAGCGTTGTCTAAAGCTGAAAAACATTTTCAACAAACTGAAAATTTTGTATAGTTGGAACAGAATCTAAATATAAGCATGTGTGCAAGTCTTTTTATTCTTTATGAAGGGGGTTAGAGCAGTTCTGTTATTGTGTGTACCCAATGTTTTACACCATCACCAAAGATTATGCTTGGCCACGGGCAGACAAGCCCAGATCTGGCTTGCCAAACATTTGGGGCTTGTCAAGACTATGGGGAAGATTCAAAAGAGGAATTTGCATATCTTCTTCCAATCTCACCTTTGAAAGCGGAGCTTTCGAAAGTGAAAGTAGTCTAGACGCAATTTTTTTGCAACCCCCCGCCTTTTCTGAAAAGCTGCTTTTCCTCAAAAAATGAGGTTTATGCGGCTTTTCGAAAAGGGGTGGGGGGATTTTCCGGAAAACCCCCCACGTCTAGACTACTTTCACTTTCGAAAGCTCTGCCGGAATTTGCATATCCTCTTTCAAATCTTCCCCGTAGTCTAGACATAGCCTTGGATCCAGCCCGCAGGCCAGTAGGCCTCTCAGGCAGGCAGGTTCCCTGGCTGCTACTGCTCCACATGCTGCTCAAAGTTGCCCACTAGTGGGGCCAGCATGCATCTTTGTGCAATGCCTGCCCCTTGGGTAAAGGGAGGGGGGAGTCGACAACCTGTCTACATCCTGCCCCCACCCTCACACTGTCCTCACAGCCTCCCACTGGCTGCAAATCGGTCAATGGGAGCTGCAGGTGTGATGCTTGCGGGTGTATGCAGCACGTAGAGACCCACTACCACCTTCCCCCAAGGGGCACACCATCCAAAAAAACACACAATGGACTCAACAGCTGGCTACTTTGAGCAGTATGTAGAATCACAGCAGTCAGGGAGCCTGTCTGAGGGTCAGCGCCTCCTGACCAGAGTCTGCACTTTGTACACCAACCCCTCCCATACAGTAACCCCCCGCCCCAGGTCACAACCCCCTCGTGTACCCAAACCCTCTGCACCCTTGCTTCAGGTCACAAGTTCAACCTCTTCCTCCATCCAAATTCCCTCCCAGGCCCTGCACCCCCTTCTGCACCTCAATCCCTTACCTACCACTTCCTCCTGTACCCAGACTTCATCCGAGAACCTAAACCCCCTCCATTAATATCATAGAAAAGTGTGGCTCCAACCACTTAACAAATTCTTGGAGAGGACCCCCATCCAAAATTGACCACACTTGTGCTAGGCCATAACTCCTGCTCAGAATATTTAGTTTCTTAAACACTTACGAAATGCATAAAAACTAAGACAACAAAGCAGATTTTCATTATCCTATATTTAGACCAATAATTCTGAATGATTCTTCTTTATTCCTAAGTAATTGACATCAACAGTGAACTGGAGAACTGAATAGAAGGGGAAGATCATTACTGTCACAATGCTACTCTAAACTGGGACAGTGGTCCTTTCTATACTAATAGCAATAAGCTCTGTAGTTACTGGGCAGACCTTAAAAATAATCAGAAATTCCATAGGTAGAATATTAATAGCAGTGTTGTAAATCTGTCAGTATTAAAAACCCAACATTATATAGTAAAGCTTTTCAACAGAGCTGTGTTGAATACATGAATACTATTCAGATTTAATAGTGGGTCACTATTCTTATGTTAATATCACTTTTAAAAAACTTTGGGAGGGTTGTGCATAACAGACTCTTCTGGTGTTAAACTTAAAAAACAACGAATAGTCTCTAAGGTGCGGCAAACCTTACAAAAAATGTAGATAGTATCATGAGCTTTCGTGAGCACAACCCACTTCTGCAGATGAACGGAGGAAATGGGTTGTGCCACGAAAGCTCATGATATCATCTACATTTTTTGTTAGTCTCTAAGTTCCAGCAAGACTATTTGTTGTTTTTTAATTTTTTCCAGTTACAGACTAACACAGCTACTCCTCTGAATCTTCTGGTGTTAGTTGACTGCTATTCTTTAAAAACATTTCCATGCAGAGTGGAGCCACAGAGATACCTACTGGCTAAAATGTACTGTACAGGTTGTACCTCCATAAACTAGCTCTCTATGGTCCAGCAACATCCATGGTTCAGAAGAAGCACAGATGCTCCTGGATCAGAGAGCCTGGAGCCTAAGGACAGGATCAGCTGGGATAACAGGATCAGCAGCTCAGCTGGGGGCAGCGCAGGATCAGGGCTGGAGCCCTGCAGCTGCCTCTAACTGCCTTGCATCACCACAGGGCCGGAATCCCATGGCAGCTCGGGTCAGCGTGGGGCAGAGGCCAAAATCCTGCAGCAGTGTGGAGCTAGAATTGGAGCGCAGGGGTGGGGATAGAGCCCAGCAGCAGCCCCCTTGAGCACAGGGCTGAAGCCTCACGGCAGGAGCCACAGCCTATAGCTCTCAAAGTGCTGGCAATACCTGGGTAAACTGCCCAGTCAGGTTGGGGGAAGGAGGGGAACAAGACAGGCTGTTTGCTGGGGCAGCCTGCCAGCTGCAGGTGATAGGATTGGGGGAAAACCTCCCCTAGCCCGGCAAATTCTCTCCTTTGGGACTGGACAGATTCCAATGGTGCCAAGATTGACCCTCCCTGGTTTGGCACCATTAGAACCTGACCAGTCTCAAATGAGAGAATTTGCCAGACTACAGGAAGTCTCCTGCCACCCACCCCCAAGCCCATTACCTGCAGCTGAGAGAACTTTAATGTAAGAAATTTAACATCTCAAAATATGTTTTCAAAAGCCCACTTCATTAGTGAGAATATGTATAATTTCTAATATAAATCGTTAACTTTTTCATATGATTTATTCTAGAAATAGGTCTTAATCCTAGAGTCTTTTCATACAACTCTTTCTGAAGTCAATTTTATACTATTATCATCAACACTGGCTGTATGCTAGAGAATCTTGTACAAATGAATTTGTTCAAGCGCTTCTCTATCAATGTCCTTTTCCAGATATACATCATAGTCCAGCTTCATCTCTTCTACCCACTGGCTGAGCAGTATATCCGTCTGAAACAATTAAAAGCAGAAACATAAATTAACACACTTTTGAGCAACCAACTTAACTTATGTTTCAAGGGAGGCAGACATCAGTGAGAAAAGGAAAGAAAGACAGTTTAGCCATTATTTATAGAAGCATCATTTTACCTAAATAAGAGTAAGGATAACTTACGAAAAGTAACTCTGTCAGCTTATCTGTTTATTCAAATTTGGGTCAGACTATTTTTATCTGGAATGGGAGTCTCTTTGGATTCACACTTGCTGATAAATTATACATGTGGTTTTAGTTTTTCACTTATGTTCCCAGTAACATATTGATGAAATCATGTAATCCAACTCAAAAGACACATAGTATAGGCTAGGGATGTAATAGTGTAGTCGATCAACCAATTAACCGATAAGCAAAAGCTTATAGGTTAATGCTATAGACTACATGCATTCCTCTCTCCCTGCCCCATCCTTGCCAGTAATTTTTTTAACAATCTGGCCAGCAGCCTGGTTCAGTCTTGGCTTGCACCAGGTCCGGGACCTACCCCTGCTGCAGCTCTGCATTTAAAGTGTATTAGGAGCCAGGTGGGAAGGCAGCCAGGCTAAGTTCTAGCTTGCACCTGGTCCAGGAGCTCAGCCCCACCCCATCCCATCCCAGAGAGGGGCTGTATCAGCAAAAGGCAGCAGTGTGGGGCGACAGGCAACTGGTCTGCGAGGGGACCTGGTACTCCATGCTGGTGTGTCTGATACTGAGCCAGCAGTGTGGAATAGCAGGGGGCTCCTTGGGAGAGAAGCCAGAGCTCAGTGGCTGCTGGCTCCACCCTCGAGGACTACAAAATTGTTGAGTAACCAAATAAGATTTCATGAGGTTAACTGACTATTCAATTAGCCGATACTTAACATCTCTAGTATAGGCTTGAATGATAGTATAATACTTTGAGATCCTCAAAATTTGGGGGTGATGTAAATTAAGCATCACAACAGCTTTGTGGTGGTGTAGATAAATAGTACAGAAAATCCCCAATTCATGAATGGGCTGTGTTCCAGAAGTTCATTTGTAAGTCAGTTATTTCAAACTCTGAACACAGTTGCCCTAGAAATAATGTTATAAATGGCAGTTTGGTTCCCACGCTAGCCCACAAAAGCCTATTTAACCCATAATGAAGCTGAAATACTGTATATTTGCAAAGAAAAATAGAAAATATTACAGTTGTAATACTAGTAATTAAAACAGAAAAACAATAAAAATTGACTAGTTTATTTAATATTGAATGCTGTTTGGTGCTTGAAGAAAGGCAGGTTTAATTACCGTAAGGGTAGGTAGAGATTCGGAAAGGAACTTGTGGACAATACGCAGCCGGAGGGCTAGATTAGAAGGGGTGTCCAGGGCTATTAGATTTTTGGGTGTTCCTCTTGGCTCCAGCCACCCCCACCCCCAGGTAGTCCCCATTTCCCACCTATGGGCTCAGTAGCCTGGCAGCCACTCCACTCTCCCCCCGGCACCTGCAGGCTCAGCAGGGGCTCTGGCAGTCCCCCTGCACCAATGACCTGCTCATCTGGAGGAAGTGAGCGGAGGCAACTGGAGAGAAATGGCATTTTAAAGCACTACTTCATTCTGGCTGTGTGCAGCTGCCCCCTTCTCTTTTGGCCCATGATCATACCACTTGCCACCTTCAGGAGAGCAGGGGCTGGGGACAGAGTCTGCACGGGGAGGATGGAGATGCCAGAGCATGGGGCCTGCCAGAGTCTGTAAGGAGTGTTCGTGGAGATGGCTGGGCACTGCCAGAGCCCACGCTGTCAGACTCTGCACGGGGAGGATGGAGATGCCAGGGCATGGGGCCTGCCAGAGTCTGTACGGAGTGTTCGTGGAGGTGGCTGGGCACTGCCAGAGCCCACGCTGAGCCGTCAGGTGGGGGAGCAGTTTTGGGAGGGTTGGCCACAGTACTCCAGCCTTTGCTCACCCCCACTTGTGCCTCTTGCCTGCTCCCTGAGGCTGCAGTTGAGCATTCATATCTGTGGACATTTGCAACTTGAATGTTCGTAACTCGGGGAGTACCTGTATCCCATTTTCATAGATGGTGAACCAAGGCACAGAGAGATTTAAATACACTTTCTAAGGTCCCGCAAATTGGTGGCAAAGCTGGGAACAGATTTCAGGGTCCTGATTTCCAGTTCTCTGCTATAAGAATTTGACCACACTGCCCACTCTGTGATACTCTGCATCCTAACATAAGCGACTTCTAGAATGCACACTGACTCACTGTAATACTACTTTCACAAAGAGTAAGATACAGCGTGGCAGTTACAGCTATTTGAAAAAGAAGAACTACGAACCTGTAGGTTTGAGATAGATTCTTCAAGGCTTGGGACTGTTACTAATAATGACCCTTTTTTCCTTATATTTTGACTGATAAATTCCCAAGCTCTGAAACACATTTAAAAATTCAAATATAGTATTTAAAGATCACAAAATAATCAGTTTTTTGAGAAAGAAACACATTCAATAAAACCCAATTTTAAACACTGATTATTTCTGGTCACTAAATTGACTGACTTTAAAGATCTGCCATTTGTGCTTTATAAAATAATTGTTAATATCCTAATATAAGTCTCTGTGTGGGCTAATACCAATGGATATACTATTAATGAAGATTAGAAGGATTACATGACTTTGGAGTTTTCTTTTTTAATTAGCTTTAGTTGTTCCTCAAAGATGGGAAGAGCAAATAGTTCCGTCATTGGCATGTTGTGAGGACAGAGATTATGTAGTGTTCTTCACTTAACTCTTGTGATGTATTTTACCCATAACATACAACACCCTTGCTGTTCCAATCTGGAACCTGAGAGACTGCCACTCACGTCCAATAGGTTCTTACTTTGTGATGGTCAACAAATAATCCACTCTAAATCAGGATCAAACAATAGACAATTTAATTTGTGACCTAAATCAGAATCTGAACTCAGGACTCTAGAGGAGGGAGGCTAATCCTCACTCACTTTTTTATTCATTACAGACACAAGTTTTCTCTTTATGTCCCTATGCTGCAGTGGAGACAAAATACATGAATATAATCACAGTATTCCAGATATATCCTTCACAAAACTACTTGTGATTTTACAAGTCAAATCATTTCACATACCATAGTAATATCAACTAAGAAAGATATAGTTTCCATCACTCTACAAATCTTACTCTTCCTTATGCTTGTTGTGCAACATTACACCAATAATCTTTAATTCTTAAGAAGGAAGGTAAAGGTATAATTTTAACCAAGCTGTAGACCTTTACAGCTTGTTTAGGTCTTGAGGACCATGTTTGAAATGTCACTAGTAATTGTAATTTCAAGTATGAATATATATTTAAAGCCCTTTTGTAGTCCATACGTTTGATGAAGGACCCTTTTGTTGTTTTGTTACAGATTTTACTCTTTATGTTGGTAAAGCAATTCAAGATCATTTCATTATTTCATACAAAGTCAGTACAGTATTTTAACAGATTAGAGCAAATGTTATGAAAAAAGTTTTGGTGGGCCTATGAGAAAAAGCTTTCAGTAGCTTTCAAAGCTAAATCATGTGTGAGACTTCAGAAAGAACAACAGAATGGATTTTTATAGCCTGCAAGGTTAAATACATTGGCAAAGAAACTGATTACTTGTATGGACACATATCTTACCTGGCCTGTTCCAGTCTGTCAAGAAAATATTCAAAGACATTATTCATTACAACAACATCAGCATTTTGAAGGAGTGAAGCTTGAATACAGATGTCAGAATGAAGCACCTGAAGGAGAAATAATTGTACATAGATAAAAGTTAACTTAAAAGAACATACACAGCTTTCTAATAGACATAAGGTCTGTATAAAGAACAAAGTACCTATGGCCAACAATGTCTACAGCATTGGTTATCAAACTTTTTTTCTCATGTCCTAGCTGAAGAAAATGGTTAGTGCCCGTGACCCAATATAATCTGACTAGGGTGTGGGCTCTGGGGTGGGGCTAAGGATAAGAGCTCTAGGGTATAAGAGGGGGCTCCAGTTTTGGGGGAGGGACAGGGCTGGGGCAGGAAGGATTTACCTTGAGCAGCTGCTGGTCAGTGGTGCAAGCTTCCTGCCTCTCCTGGCACTGCAGACCATTCTGATCCCCAGAAGCAGCCAGCAGCAGGTTCCCAGCCAATGGCAGTGCATAGTTACTGTTCGGGGCAGGGCCAGTGCACAAAGCTCTATGTGCTCACACCCCACTCCCATTTAGGAGCTACCACTTCTAGGGCATAGTGCAGTCTGCAGTGCCAGGTAGCCTGCCTTCACACCCCACTGCTCACCTGATCACCCTACAACAACAAGATCCAGTACCTGACATTCCATGACCCAGTACTAGGTCATGACCTGTAGTTTGAAAACCACTGGTCTACAGATAATAAAAATGGATACAATTCATATTAAGTAATATAGAAATGAACTCACTAGAGTGAATGTTAAAGAAACCAGCTTTATTTTCTCAGTAATTGTAGTACTCAATTCATTATGCATAGTAAGTAAAAATATGTTACATTATATTTTTTATCTTGATCACTGAAAGTTACCAAAGATGATTTAGGAAATTATGATAATACTTTAGTTTCCTGTGCTTTATTGTGAATGCTTACTATATTTCAGAAAATCATTTAACCATTTAAAAGTCTTCCCTCCTCCCCCAGCACTATATTCACGGTACCACCTGTCTCCGCCACCCCTGCGCTGCCAATTTTATCAGACACAGCAATATGGGGGAGGGGGACAAGGGAGGCTGCCACAAAGCAGCCTCTGACTCTGCAGCAGGCCCAGGCTGCCTGCGCACCTGGCTCTTGCTACATTTAAAATTCAGAACTGCAGCAGGGGTAGCTCTTCAACCTGGTGCAAGCTGGGACTGAGCAAGCTTTCCCTTATTGACTAATTGTGTAGTCCATAATCGACTACACAATTAGTGAATTACCCGCCTCTTAACATCCTTCATTTGAAGTGTCCCTACCAATTAGAAATCAACCTAGTGAATATGGTTAACTTTTGGTACCTCTACAGCTAAACTGATACTTTGCTTAATCAATCTGAATTTGAACACTGGACCATTGTCACATGAAAATGTTACTTGTACAAATAACATTACCATGGTAGACAAAAAGGATGATGCAGTAGCACTGGTCTGCTTTCCCAGTCGGTACTTAAGGGATTAATAATACAGGGAAAAAGTTACTAACCATTCCATAACTGTTTTTTCTTCTAGATGTGTTGCTTATATCTATTCCACATTAGGGCTATGTCTACACTCGTGGCTTCTTGCGCAAGTACAGCCGTTCTTGCGCAAGAATCTGTCGAGCGTCTACATTGCTCGCCTGCTCTTGCGCAAGTAAATTTACAGTACAGCGTGATAAGAGAGGGCTCCTCGCGCAAGAGTTATGCTCTTTTTTAACAGGTGTAAGCCCTCTTGCACAAGAGGGCAGTGTGGACGCTTAGCAGGGATTTCTTGCACAAGAAAGCCCTATGGCTAAAATGGCCATCAGAGCTTCCTTGTGCAAGAGAGCGCCCACACTGCCATGGGAGCTCTTGCGCAAAAGCACAGCATGCACATGGCAGTGTGGACTTTTTTTTTGCGCAAGACTTCTTGCACAAGAACCCTTGCACAAGATGTTCTTGCGCAAGAATCCGCCAGTGTAGACATAGCCTAGGGGCACATGAAAGACATAGGAAGTACGCTTATTAAGTTTGCAGATAATACCAAGTTGGGAGGGTTTGCAACTACTTTGGAGGATAGGATCATAATTCAAAATGATCTGGACAAATTGGAGAAATGGTCTGAAGTAAACTGGATGAAGTTTAATAAAGACAAATGCAAAGTGCTCCACTTAGGAAGGAACAATCAGTTTCACACATACAGAATGGGAAGCAACTATCTAGGAAGGAGTACGGCAGAAAGGGATCTAGGGGTTATAGTGGACCACGAGCTAAATATGAGTCAACAGTGTGACGCTGTTGCAAAAAAAGCAAACACGATTCTGGGATGCATTAACAGGTGTGTTGTGAGCAAGATATGAGAAGTCATTCTTCCACTCTACTCTGCGCTGGTTAGGCCTCAGTTGGAGTACTGTGTCCAGTTCTGGGCACCGCATTTCAAGAAAGATGTGGAGAAATTGGAGAGAGTCCAGAGAAGAGCAACAAGAATGATTAAAGGTCTAGAGAACACGACCTATGGAGGAAGGCTGAAAGAATTGGGTTTGTATAGTTTAGAAAAGAGAAGACGGAGGGGGGACATGATAGCCGTTTTCAGGTATCTAAAAGGGTGTCATAAGGAGGAGGGAGAAAACTTGTTCATCTTGACCTCTGAGGATAGAGCAAGAAGCAATGGGCTTAAACTGCAGCAAGGGAGTTTTAGGTTGGACATTAGGAAAAAGTTCCTAACTGTCAGGGTGGTTAAACACTGGAATAAATTGTGCAGGGAGGTTGTGGAATCTCCATCTCTGGAAATATTTAAGAGTAGGTTAAGTAAATGTCTGCACAGCATGGGAGAGGGCGGCGCTGCGGGACCAACCCGGCAGCACCCCAGCTGCTCTGCCCCCGGCTCCCCCAAGTCAGCCGCTGGTCAGTTTCAGCAGCAGCGGACTTGGGGAAGCCTGGGGCAGAGCAGCTCTAATTGTCCGGCTGGCCGGAGCACTTCCGAGTTGCAGTTGGTGCGGGACTATCAGGAGTGCCAGACCACTGGATGTCGGACAATTGGAGTTTTACTGTAACTTCTTTAAAATCATTCAGAATGTTGCCAAGAAAAAAAAAGTGCATATGCTATATAAGTGTCCATCAACCAAAGGTAGGGACTGACTGATAAACTGAAAGGGAAGAAGAAACCAGTACTGAAAAGTTTGATTTTCACGATATAAGGGAAAACCAAACTTCTTTATAAATACAGTTAGGTGTATTAAAGTTGAATACATGTAAGAGGGATTTCCTGAATTTGCCCCAACTTCTGTTGTTTATTAACCAACATATAAACATTCACAGCAAACATGGTATAAAATCAGTGATTTCTAGACACTTATTTTTAAAATTATGAATAGAACAGTACAAGACTCACGCATAAATTCACTATTAAATATAGAAATTATTTTATTCAGATCTCTCAAGTAACAGGGGTCACAGTGGGGGTCAGAACATCCCAGATAACAGTGGCTATTGCAAGGCTTTTTTAACTTCGTGTTACATAGTTATTACTTAGCCATCTAGCTTTTGGCTGTTTTCCCATGCTAGTGTGCCTCTCCTAAAAGATGCAATAAGAGAGGAATGAAGCTGAAATTCAAGAATGAAATGTTAAAAGCAGTGCGTGAAAATGTTCAAAACACTGCGTAATAATAAGAGTCACATGACTAATTTAACATCAGGTGGGAGTTAAATGACAAAGTCCCCAGGCACTGCTTTGAAAATGTTGGCTCTGATTTATCTTTATGCACTGAAAACTGTAACACTTCAGAAGAATTACAAGGTGTGAAGAAAAAACTTTAAATTGTAAGTGTATATTTTCCAAATATAAAGCAACCCAAGAGTATGCATACACATCTAAAGTCTCTAATTAACCTAATAAAGCATTCTGCTGCATAGTCCAATCTCATTTCACTGATATATTTCAGACACATCAGAAGCCGTGTCTACACTGCATCTAGAAACAACCCTCACAACCCAAATTCATCCCAGCAGGGCCTGAATTCATGCTCAAAAATAGCAATGTGGCTGCTGTAGCACCAGCAAATGCTCAGGCTAGCCACCCAGGTTGGACCCACATCATCCCCTGAGTCTTTCCCAGCCTGAAGATCTCACTCCCAGTTGCAGACAGATGCTGGGAGTTTTGCCGCTTATTTCAATGGGGCCAGGATTTCACCTACTGTGTTTATTCATTGCCTTTCACCCCAAGATCTTTTGTATGGGCTCAAATTCCCAAACAAGGAGGCTACGTCTACATTGGCCTCTTCTCTGGAAGAGGCATGTTAATTTCCAACTTCAGAATAGGGAAATCCGCGGGTGATTTAAATATCCCCCGCGGGATTTAAATAAACATGGCCGCCGCTTTTTTTCCGGCTTGGGGAAAAGCTGGAAAAAAGCGTCTAGACTGGCGCGATCCTCCGGAATAAAGCCCTACTTCAAAGTAGGAATAAGAGATCCTCCGGAAAAGGGCTTTATTCCGGAGGATCGGGCCAGTCTAGACGCTTTTTTCCGGCTTTTCCCCAAAATCCCGCAGGGGATATTTAAATCCCCCGCGGATTTCCCTATTCTGACGTTGGAAATTAACATGCCTCTTCTGGAGAAGGGGCCAATGTAGACGTAGCTGGAGTGTTTTCATAATAGAATGGTATCTCTATATATTAATGGTTTGAATTTGTTTGGAACCTTTCTTATTTTTCTGACATATAAGTGCCCTAACGTGAACTGAACTTTTCTGTTCCAAGAAAACTACTAAAGAAATACAACACCCAAAAGTTGGTAGCCTGCAGACCTTAGCCTCTACTCCAGTGCAAATCCTTGATAGTATCTTTGCTATTCTTAACAAAAGAGAGACTGCAGATGCCACTTGTTTTTAATCATTCTAGATATAAGCATTTACTGGCTTTCATTCTGTTTCAATAAATAGTGAAACAGTGGAAGAACATCCATTGATTTTAATTAGATCAGTACTTACTTGTTTGGGATTAGCTAGCAGACTGAGCCTACTTGTAAGAACGTAACAAGAGCCATACTGGGTCAGACCAAAGGTCCATCTAGCCCACTAGCCTGTCTTCTGACAGTGGCCAATGCCAGGTGTCCCAAAGGGAATGCTCAGATAAAAAGTTGAACAAATCAAATATTACTATATTTTAAACAGAATTTTTAATCACTTCTTAATTTTAATGGACATTAAGGTTTTTTGTTTGGTTTAAAATCAAACAAAGTACAGATCGGTCTTTAATACAACACTGATTTTACCAGCTTCTGTCATTAGAATAGAATTATTCTTTAACCAACATATCAGATTAATTATACACACTATAAAATGTATTTAGTCACCTTTACTCTGTCTGTAAATTGGTATTTTGCTATAATCATTTCTTGCAACTGGCAAAAGTCTGCATTCATTTCTACTCCATATAGCTGGGATGCTGAGCTGTAAAGATAGCCCTACAATAAGAAAAGGAAATGTAATAATTGAGGTGCCTGTAAAATTACTACTTTTACTCTAAAGTGGAAAAATGAAACATTGTAAAGTGAAAAACAAACCAACATAAAAGTAGAAAATATACTAGAGTGAACTACATATATTTTCTGGGTTAAGAGCCTCTTTTGGCAGTTACAATTAATGTTTTTGAATATCACCATGAAAATACAGATGGAAGCTGACAGACCAAGGTAAGAAAGGGAAAATAAGCAACAGAATCCAACTCCACTTCTACTAGTAAGATATGTGGAAACTGACTTAAGGAAATAGGGGGAAAAAAACCTTAAAAGTTAGCACAAACAAAATTATAAATATAAACTTAAAGGGGAGAGGGAATTAACACATTTAAAGATTGTGTTGGGATTCTTTTTCTTATGTATTTTTTTTCTTTTGCAGGAGAACACAAAGCAACAAAAATATCTAACACACACACACACACACACACACACACACACACACACACACACACACACTGTATGAATTTCTGCAGTTCATGTTACACAGTGATATGTGAAAGTCCAATTTGCACTTATAATGGGATGGAAGACCTAAGAACAGTATTTTCCTCCGAGACTGAACAATGCTACTTATGGATACAGTATTTTTTAAAGTACCTCTTATGTAAAAATGCAAAGCATAATTTATTTCACCAATAACTTAAAAATCGTGGAATTAAATATTCTAAAAATTATTCTAAGCTAACTTACCTTTGGACTAAAACCAATCATGGAAAGTTTCTGTCCAAAAGGAGAATTTTTAAGAAAGTCTGAATGTCAGAAAACAATCAGCCTATAACAGGTAAAATGTTACAACTTTCTCTACAATTAACACTATAGTTATGCTTAGCTAGCGTAAGAAAGTTGAAAAAAATAGTGCGACAAAACACACAAAGTTACAGGTGCAACTTATTATTAGAGCTATCTGAAGCCCTTCAACCCCTATGGCTAGAAAGGCAACCTGTATAGATGAAACATGGCAAACTGCCAATTCTGAACTACATGCCAACAATATGATGAAAGAAAGAATCTTTTAACTTTACTGCTACTTAATCTTGAGGCTTTCTTTCATTATAACAATATAAGTGTTCCAGAACGCCAAAATAAATCTAATAGCTTCCAACAAAATTACTATTTACGGGCTCAATCCTGCAAACTTTCACATGTGAGAGGAACCTTATTCATATGAAAAATTCCAAGTTGGATTTTTCAGATGAGTAAAATTGCAAGTTCAAGTGTGTCCAAGATCAGGCCTTTACAGAAGACATCATCTTGAAGAAATTTGTATTAACTGATATAATTTATGCCCATATATATTTTGTACTATTGTTGGCCATGCATTTTACCAACAGCAATCTGAAATTACACTTGAGCTTCTTGAGAAAGTATTTTATAAGACAAAATGCTTTAGGTGTTAGCTATACAGTGTTTCTCTATAAACGGTCCATGGACCAATACTGGTCTCTGAGATTTCCCTGATACAGTTTAGGAAAGTAGCAAGCCAGTATCAAACTCCTGAGAAACACTGAGCTAGGAGACAAATTGATATCAAAAGTATCTCTGTGAAATTTTAGAGTTTCCCAGCCTCACAATGGGATTTACCAAAACTCAGCAGAATATGTGGTCAGGCCAGGTAAGAAAACATTAATTTAGCAATGTGAGACTGAGCAGTAATAAACTAATGAGCAGCCAAAGCATGCAACAGCAATACACTACACTGCTGGACCACAAATTCTCATGGTTTGTGGAGGCAAGTCAATAAGTGAGATTGTGTTTTCATCTTTGTGACAAGCAGAAGGAGAACTGACTGTACAAGAAAAGAAGACCTCTTATTACCTGGATGCTGTATGCTACAGATGCCTTTTTGTTGATCTATTATTTCAGTATGGAACAATGAAAGTTGCCAAAGGAAAAAGGAAAAAGAATGGCACAGAAACAATACCAATTCCCATGTTGGATTTTACCCCAAATAGCACTGCACCAAGCCTGGAGCCAACGTCAACCAGAATCTTTCCTGTCAGGTCTGGCAATGCATACTGATAAAGAAACTTCAGTTCCATGAGGGAAAAGGAATGAGAAATAAACTCTAAGAAATAAAAGCAGAACAAAACAAAGGTGTTATATGGGACAACATTCAAGTGCAAAATATTCAGCAGAGCATTACCCTACTCTGACACAGATCTCCTCTTCTAATTCTTCTTTCCTATACATTTTTATTACAGGGCTCCACCAACCATCTGAATCCACAGTGTTTTGTGCACTGACTTAGGGTTTGTCTACACTTGAAACACTATAGCAGCACTGCTGCACCATTGCAGCTGTGCTGCTGCAGAACTTCTGGGTAGGTACCGCCTATGCAGACGGATAGAGTTTTCTCATGGGTATAGGGTAATCCACCTCCCTGAGACATGGTAGCTAGGTCAATGGAAGAATTCTTCTGTTATCCTAGCATTTTGTACACCAGGGATTAGGTCAATCAAGCTGTTACCCACAGGTGCAGATTTTTCAAATCACTGAGCAATATAGCTGGGTCAATCTATTTTTTGTATGTAGACTGGGCCTCAGTCACTAGATTAATTTAGTTGAATCAGTATCATTCCTCTACTACAGAGACGTGAACTATAATTATTAGAATTGATGGAAAAATTCAAACAAAATACTTTTTCATTGGAATTTACTGATTTGTCAAACTCTATGTTCCATGAAGGCAATCTGATTTAGACAATATTTTTAGAATGCTTTTAGAACACTGAATGCTGCTGTAATGAAGTAGTTATATCTTGCATCTTAAAGGCTCTATTCTGGGGTAGAAGAGCTGCAACGGGTCAAACAGCAGCTCTCAGAGGCACGGTGCCTCCTAATGTTTCTACATAAAAAGGTGAAGGAGGAGGGCACTGGGCCTTTTCCTCTTTAGCAGTACACAGTCTGATCTCCTTCCTGACCGCTTTGTGGTAGCTTGTGTCGCTCATGCAAATGTGTACTGCCTATGTGTGCAGGAGGCTTCTTGTGCTCTCCTGCAGGCAAAATATGGGGAATCATCTGGCCTGATGACTATCAGTTTAGAAAGACAAAGGCCAAGTCTACACTACAGACGTCTCAGAAAATAGCTGTGTCAATAGTGGCATGGTCCTTGACTGACATAGCTATAGGCACAAGCTCCTAGTGTAACCAGAGTTATGCCAGCAAAGCTGTGCTTTTGTCAATATATCTTATTTTGCTTGGGGAACGACAAGGAGGAGGGGCAGGAAAAAGCTACATTGGCAAAAGTACAAGTTTTGCAAGTATAAACTGCTTTCATTCTAGACGCACTTGGCTGGTATAGCATGTCGGTATAACTATATTGGTAAAGCACTTGTAGACTTTACTTAGTCAAAGTCCTCAATCAACTGGATGGTGTGTTGCTCGGCTGAGATACTGCATGACTATTTAAAAAAAATATAAAATATCTACATCTATTGTATAGTCACAAATCAGCCAACATATCTATTTGGCTTGTGCACTCAACACAGTACTCACCTAAAGATGCAGTCTTGTATGATCCACATGATACACAGTAGTTTCTACTCATTTTCCCTTTCTCACACAATGAATCTATAATGTCATCATCATAAAGGAATGCATCGACATGAACTGTTGGCTCAGACTGCTCACGTACCTGAAAAAGATGATAAAATCTAAGAAAAAAAATCACAGCCAAATCTATTTCACTTATAAAGATTTGTTTTTTAAATACAATCTAAAGGTCCAGATTGTGTCCTATGCATTGCATTAGGACTAAATTATGTATCACAAGTCTTAGAATTATGTGGCACTACTTCCTCACACTATCCACCTTACTCCATAGTTCAGTCCAATCAATCAAATGTAATATATATTTCTCCAAAATGTAGGGCTAGTCTAACCAAATTAAGCTTCATCGATTTAAGACACACAAGCTAATTTAAAAGAGGGGCTGCAGAGATTTATTTAAAATAAATGTGATTAAAAAAATGCAATTCTTGTGTGTTGATGTGGCCTTCAATTTTCAACTGACAAGTAACTGCTTTGTAGAAGTTGTCACGGTAAAGCTGGAGGTTTGAGCAGCTGGAAACGGACAAGTGGGACTTTTAATATCCAGGAGACAACAGAAGGTTATAAACTAGGAAAGGAATGCAGTCCCCCTTTCCTTTGGGGAGCTGAGTGCCTCATTACTCACCCCAGAAGCACACTAGGGTAATACTGCTTTTCTTACAATTGTCTAAAGAAATACACCTTTATATTTCAGGATCAGAAATACCACTGATTAAAGCATGGATAATTTTTAATCAGATGAACATTACTGGGGGAGTATTCCTCAAGCAACCCCTACCTTCTCTTTACTTTCCTCAAAGCACTGGCATATAGGGCCAATCCATTTTTTCAGTTAAGAACTACATGCAGCTCCTCTGGGGATATATTAACTCTGTTCCTGGATTGAACAGAAGTGTTTAAGTACAAGATATGCTATTTTTCTCCACCCCAATACACATGAGCTGTGCATCCTGCCTCTTACAGTCCCTAACATCTCAGGAAACAAAGAACTGGAAGTCAAACTTGTATCTCCTGAATTGTAGTGCCATCACATCACTGCCCCATCTTTTCAGTTTTCTTATTAGTTCATGTTCATATTGTAATAATGCCTAGAATCCCAATTAGGGATCATCAAGCCAGACTCTATATTCCATAGTCAGGTTAGCTGCATTGTGCTGGGCATTCTACATGCATATTAAAAAGACAGGCCCGTCTGTAAATAACAGTCAAAGTAAGTAAGTGAGGCACATTGAAGTGAAGGGATTTTCTCAAGGTCACAGAACAAAGCAGTGACAGAGTTTGGACCAGAACCCAGACTTCCAAATTCCAGTCCAATGCCCTAACCAATAGATAATACTGTCATCAGTACAGTGTTATAATCCCTGAGTGAGTGCAGTGGCACAGCAGAGAGAAACCAGAATGACGAGCTTACTTTTTGAATCGCTAGATGCTCCGAATTAAGCATTGCCTCAATGGGTAAGCAATTCCGAAGATCTTCAGCAATACTTCTGAGCACAACATCATCATTATTGAACATGAATTCATCAAAGTCATCTACAAAATTATTTAAAACAATCATGTGTATATCATGGGGACTGTAAATGATGACCAATATAGTACAGCTTTGATTTGTAACAATGCTAGATGTATTGGAGGTTTTGTGAAGCATGTTTTCCAATCTTTGCTGTTAGTATTTTCAGCCAGAGATAAATCTAAATCCTAATAACTTTGTTTATTAAAATAAGTATGTTAGATTTCAAATTATGCTCATATTTACAAATCTATAACTTACACATGATACTCTACATCCCACCAAAGCAATACTGTTTTAATCTAAGATATAAAAAATATCAAAGATGTTTTAGAAGTGTTGTAAAAATGACAAAACTCACAGTTGCTTGCACACATACAATTATCAGAAAGGTTTCTATTATAGAGTCCATCTTTCAAATAGAATGCCCCAAGTTACAAACACGTGACTTATGGACATTCACACAGACAAACAAAAGCTCACCTCAGGCAGCGATGTCCTTAGGATGTATGGGACCCTACACAGTACAGTACAATTAAACTGAGGCCCCAATGGCAACTAGCGGAAGGGGGGAGGGTGACAACTTTTTAGAGATGTGATTTTATAATTATCATTTAAAAACAAAGTATTTTAAAGCAAATTTTAAATTAAGGTCCTATAGATTAACAGTACATTCAGAAGCTTCAGGGGTTAGCCGGGTTAGCCTGTTACAGAAAAAAGAAAAGGTCTGGTAGCATTTTATAGACTAACAAAACATGTAGATGGTATCATGAGCTTTCGTGGGCACAGCCCACTTCTTCAGGTGACCAGAGTATGAGTTTAGGAGGTGCACACCCAAAATAAATAGGAGAGGGGAAGGGGAGGAGGGAGGGAAGAAAAAAGAAGGGGGGTGGGAGTCCGAGAGCAGAGAGAATCGGTAAGTACATTCAGACACTGACACTATATACGTGGGGTTGGCAAATCCCTGTTAAATGGCTTCATTAACACTTGAATAGCTCTCTCTCTCTCTCAGGTTCAATGTTCTGCTAACATTTTTCACTTTTAAGTTAACTTAACTCTCCTGAAGAAGCAGAGCAACAAAACCGGGTTAGGAAAGAGGCAGGTGGACTTGAAGGCTCAGTGGTGCCCCACATTTTCAGATGTCCTATGCAGCTGCATATTCTGCATCTAGGTAAGGACAGCTCTGTTGCTGTCAGTCCCTGAGGGGCTGAGGATTGGCCAAAGCCACAGGAGCTATACGTGGACCCAATGTCACATCCTATTTTTCACATCCTATTTGCAGATTTTTTGTTGTTTTCCACATGGCGGCACCTGCAATCATAAGGATCTTCCCATTTTTCTCCTGATTTATCCTCCCATCCTCCTCTCTTTAGATCTATAATCAATTTTGTTTTAATCACAGAGGACTAGCTGAAACCTCCTTTTGCAGTTCCTCTGTACTCCATCCACATTGAGCTCTGACCTAGTTTTAACCACCAGCATAGGCCAGGTTGCAGTTATACTTATTTTTTTAAAATTAACAACATGGACTGGCACCACCCATCAAAACTTTGTCCATACTTAAGACCTGTCTCTCCTCAAATAGCAATTACTTTCTATCCCATTCTGTCTGTCTTATGTATTTAGAATGTAAGTCTTTGAGTAAGGAGACTGTGTTTTACTACACATGCATACAGCACCTAAGACAATGAAAGCATGTTCTTAGTTGGGACTTCTAGGCTCTTCAAACTAAATAAAATGCTTCCACTACTACCACTAGTAGAAGTGCTAGAATAGACAGTCTGTTAATTGCAGCCACTGTTCAGAGCAAATCTAGAAGCCATAACGGTTCAAATGCCAGGGGCTGATCCACACTAGGGTTTCCAATGTTTCTAGTATTGGTGGAGCTGTATCATGCCAGCAACCATGGACAATTTTAAACACAGGATAAACACAGCCAAAGGCCAACTAAACTACAGTTTTAGCCTCAAAGTGGTTTTTGAGTCGGGTTTAAGACTGTGCCAGCAAACATGGCTTAAATAAAGGAGTCACTATTGACTGGTGCAAGAGATTAGTTCTTTCCACCTACAAAGAGTTTTGAATGTTGCTTCCACAGTGCTTCCCAAAAATGAGACCAAAAGTCACTTCCAGGTCTCTTATTATGCTGCAAAATATTATTGCTGGGTCTTTAGAACAGTTGGACCCCATCTAAGATTTATAGATGTTATTATTACTTAAACTGCGATAATGCCCAAAGGCCCCAATTACGATCGCAGCCCCACTATATTAGGCACTGTATAAGAACATGGGCTTTGACACAAAAAGCTTGCAATCTAATTTGAAAACTAATCTAGAGTGGGTAATAGTACGAAGGATAGGAAAAGACAGAGAAGAGGTAAACTGTTGCAACATTAAGTTTTGCAAATTACACAAACAGTGTGCACAAATCAGCTCCCCTCGCGGACTAGCTGCCTGCCACACCCGCTGCTGCCTCTGTTATCCGGCACGCTTGGTGATTAGGGCGTTCTGGTTATCTCAAAATTCCGGTTATCTGAAGGTCCCATCAACCTAGGAAAAACCAATGGACAATAATAGTAAAACTCAAGTTTTTAATATTGGTAGTTTTTTAGTGTGAGGCAGTTGGTTTCACATTTCTATTTTGAGTTAAAGATTATTAGTACTTCTTGAATAAAAAATTGTTAAGCCAATCATGGTAAACCAAGCCAGGCCTGTGCACCTGAAGATGTGACAGTATTGTGGCTGGGGGCAATGCTGGTTAACAAAGTCTTCTGGTTAGCAGAGTGCCGGATAACAAAGGTTTCACTGTACATCTTTTTCCGGTTGCCTCTAAGATCAGCTGTCATATGAATAATGATACAGCATATTACAAGATCACTCTTTCAAGGTAAAGTGCTGAGTTCACACAATAATATAACCAAAACCCAGAAGACCATTCTATGTTTAATGAACCCAATAGGACAAACTGCTGAAATACGAATTCTGAAAAACAGATAACCAGCTAAAGCTACTTATCACCAAATGGTGACATTGTAGGACAAAGAAATAAAATGACTGGAACTCATTAACTTTGGGAAAGGTCCCAAAGTGGCAACTTATTTTAAGTATCACTTGTGGAATATTCCGAATTTGTATTTTCAATTCATGACTAAACATAATTTGAGAGGTTACCTATTTTATAACCAAAAAAGATATAGTAACACCTACTTCAAATGCACAAACCTTATATATCCATGTATTTCTAATCACCATTGATTACAAAATCTAGGTACCAAATATTTCAAATGTAAATTTCCACCTAACCCTGGGAAGGCTATATCAACTACACCTCCGGTAGGGTTAAACTAGATAGACTATTCCTTGATGCCTCTCTCTCCAAATAAGAAATCAAAAACTACCTCAATACACAATATCTTTCTTGTGTCATCGAACTGGGCCTGTTATTGGTACTAAATGGTGAGAATGTACAGTACATAATCCAAGCTCTAACGTGTACCTTCATGGAGCCAATAGCATTTAAAAAAACCGGAAGAAACTACACAGTGTTTATAAATTAGTTTAAAATGAATCTCAGTCAATAGGAGGATTTGCTGGAAGGAATATTACTGTCTGTATCCCACTCCAAAACTATTTCTGTTGGACCTGCTCAATGTGCATTTATAATTTAATTAACACGTTGGAAAAAAAGTTATACTTTGCCACAGCTCAGCCTTAATGTAGCAGGTTTAAAATTAGCCATGTAAACATCAAAAGCCTCAATCTGGATAGATAGCACCTCTGACTGCTGTACCATTTTGGCACTAGCAAAAATTAGACTGCACAGAACTATAATAGCAGTGGTGGGCAATCTGTAGCCCTGCGGCTCACAAGACATTTTGTTTACCACTGCTCGTGTGCAAAGTTGCCAGATTTCACTGATTTCCATCCATGTAATTTTTTCCCTATAGGAATTGCTAAAGTGATATACACATAAATTAAGGGCACATGAAGTGAAGTGTGTGCTGATTGCATACAACATTGGCTGTGAGAGCTGCATGTTCCCTCTTCATCCAATCAAAATACTGTTACGATTTAATGGGCACACCCTGAATATTTTAGTTACCCAACCAGTTAGCAAAACTGCCTCATGCTGGGAGACCATTTTCGCTCAGGGATGTTAATAAATGAGTCTTTCATGTACTTGACAAGCATTTTACACAATTAGTTGATAAAGAATAGCAGTGCTACCACTCAAACCCGACTCCTGTTGGGTCTGGCAATTACCCTCACTGTGGCTCTGCTCTATAAGCACTTGTAATGTAGAGCTGCAGCAGGGGTTGATGCCAGGTCCCAGCACAAGCCAGGACTGAACCAGCCCACCCGCCTGCTTGCTCTTAGTGCTGGGACCAGCATCAACCCCTGCTGCAGCTCTGCAGTATAAGCACTAAGAGCTGGGACGTGGGCAGGCTGGCTCAGTCCCAGCATGAGCCAAGACACAGCATCAACCCCTGCTGTGGCTCTGCACTACAAGTACTAAAAGCCAGCATAGGAGTTGATGCCAGGTCCTGGCACAAGCTGAGACTGAGTCAGCCATGGCCATGTGCTGGCTCAAAAATTTACTTGTGAGGGGAGTATTATAGATTAGCATTATCTGCTACATGTAAGCACCCACTTATGAGTTAAATGTTTAATCAAGCACACCATTACATCCTTATTTTGGTTATGACAATCTTGTCCATTTCAAAGAAAGAAGTGCAGCAGGGAACCTGTACAAGAGGGGACCGAAGTAGTTCCTGCTCACATGGTGTCTCGAATGCTGTGCCTTTCCCTTTGAAATGTACAAGAGCCACAGGTAGCTCTTGTACATTTCAAAGGGAGAAGCACAGCAGTAGGGACCAGTACAAGCACTTGGAAATGCCAAGTGATCCTTGGTGACCCAGCCTACCTCTTGCTCACAAAGCCATACGTGGACCCCAGTAAGGATCAATTCAACTTTAGGTTGAGCAAGTGCAGAATGGTGGTTGAATGTGCTTTTGGACATCTAAAGGGGAGGTTTAGAAGTCTCCTGACTAGGCTGGACCTCAGAAAATGCAATATTCCCTTTGTGGTTTCAGCCTGTTGTGTGCTCTATAATCTTTGAGAGAGCTGGCAATGTTTCCATATGAATTGGATGGAGGGGGGAAGTTCAGTTCCCCTGCCCTTCCTAAAGGGCACCTGGTGGGTGAGGGGCCAAAGGTGGGGCACTCTTGTAGTGAGGGAACACCCAGCAAGACCCTTTCACCTGCCTCATGATTCTGTCTCCTCTTTATGTTTTTATGAGAAGCAATCCCATTCCAGGCACGTACCATTTTCCTAGCACAATGAAAGCTTTACCTTGCTTTAAATTGTAAAAGAGTAGGGATGTAAAAACCATCCAAGAGTTAACCAGTTAAACTGCTTGTTTAACCAGTTAACCACTGGCCCGGGGGAAAATATACAGATGGTCAGGGCTCGACAAATAATGCGATCTACTCATCCGTGGCGAGTAGATTGTAACCCGGAAGAGCCGGGTTCAGGCGATCTGCGCATGCGCAGATTGCCGGACAGCGCAGCTGGCGAGCCCTGCAGATGGTAATGTTTATAAAACTGCTTTTTTTCTTACTAAATTAACTACTTTTTAAAACACATTATTTCTAATGTATTACACTATTCAGCATTTTACCCTGGGAAAAAGGTACATATAAAAATCATACTATATCTGTACTATTTTAAACTATTAGTGTAGGAACAATATATATTGATAAGGGGATTTTTAGTCTTATCAGTAGAACTCTACCAAATTCACAGTCCACTTTGGTCAACTTTATAGTCATAGAATTTAAAAAATAGTAAATGTAATTATTTCAGCTACTGAAATCTGAATTTTCATGGTGCTGTAATTGTACGAGTCTTGACACAAAAAGAAGGGTTTTTTGGGGGGGAGGGATTGCAAGGCTATTGTAGGGGGTATGATGATATTGCTACCCTTACTTTCGCACTGAGGGTGACAGTGCCACTTCTGCCTACAGAACTGGGCAGCTGGAGAGCAGCAGCTTCTGGCTGGGATCCCAGCTCTGAAGGCAAAACTGCCACCAACAGCAGCACATAAGGATGGCATGGTACTTCTATGCTACTGCTAGAATGGTGCTGCCTTCAGATCTGGGTAGTTGGCCAGCAGCTACCAGACTCAGGCCACCCAGCTCTAAAGGCATTAGCACAGATATAAGTGTAGCAATACTGCAGACCAGCCTAAAATCACCTGTGTCCCCCATCCCCTGCTCCTCCATAACTCCTTGGGTCATTGCCCCCAATTTGAAAAATGGTGGTTTCCCCCATTAAATCTGTATAGTATATGTAAAGGCATTCAAAAGACAAGACCACCCAGTCCATGATGCATTTTTTAAGGCTGTGAATTTGGTAGGGCTCTACTGAATGTATGACTCATTGGTAAGAATCCACAAATAGACTTTTAAAATCTGTTTTAAAAGCTTAAAATACAAAAATGGTTTTATTGTCAGTAACAAATATGACTTAATGACCTACTTTCAGATTTGAAATGTGGATTCCTTGAAGTGACAGTGTCAATCCTGGTCACGTCAACTCATCCCACCCTGCTCCTGAGGTTAACTAAAGTACCCCAGAGTTTACTGCATGAGGTTTTTTTTAAAAAAAGCATAAGCCCTCCAAACCTGAAACCACACCACCTCTCTATAAACATAAATATCTCTCAGGACACTTTTATAAATATAACTCTGGAGGGTCAGTTTACACAATACTCTCAATCCTCTAGCTGCAGTGGGCACCATCACTAAGGGCTTGGGAAAATAAATCCAGGTACATGTTCTGAGTCAATGCTCTTTTCAGTTTACACCACACTTTTAGAGTTTCAGCACCAGATCTGCTACTAGCAATGCTCATTCATTTATTGCTCACGAATGCTCCAGTTTTTTATATAGTAAAGATGCCTTAGGTTGACAGAAAACTGGCAGTGATAACCGAAGTCCCCATAAAACCAGTATGTCTCCCCCTTTAACACAACGTGGGCATATTAAAAGTAGCCTCTTTCAAACACTGAACTCTGTACCCCAATTTAATGGAATATTTGCAAGGGGGTTCCCACATTGACTTTAATTAGCCTTTAGGTTTTGTCCAAGTTTCTTGGGGCAAAATTTCTTGGACTTGGCTCTCTCAGTATTTTTTTAGAGAAGTACTAATCTATCTATCATTTTTTGTTACTATTTGACAGTTAATGTTCCATTTCTTCAAGATCTAAAACTGTAATTCAAAGGAGTCTGGAATGTAAATCACCAGAAAATGACGTACATTACACTGCAGTGTGTGGGATGAGGAAGCTGGTTGCGACAGAGTGAAAGCAGTGTTGCTAAGCAGCTGCCTGAAGACAGTAGACTATTTCTATCATCATGTGAAAAGACTTGGAACTTCTGTTATTTGTA